GGGACTGATTCTCGGCCGCGAATGCAGACAATCGGTCGTAATCTCCGCTACAATAGTATAATAACTCAAATGAACGCAAATTCTTCGCCAATAGAAGTGCGGATCTCTTGAAAACATCGCCCAAACGGTTGACCGACAAATGAGACAATCGGTGGCAATGAATGAGCGATCGTTTCTCTGTCGCGAAGATATCGATTCGTGTGATGAGAGGTCCGTACGTACGGATCCATTGACCACTCTTTGGCCACAAATTGCAGTATATTTGCCGCAAATCACGACAATTATGTAGAAATGTGTTCAACACTTGAGGCATATGTTTATCACATTCATTGCCTATTCCTCGGCAGTCAATGGTCTCAATATTTGGACACTTTTTGGCTATTTTGGACACCATTTCTGCGATTGATATCCTTCTTCTTCCAAAGAGTTGTTCGTTGATATCAATGGTCACAACACTACTGAAGACTGTCCTCTGGAACTGTTTGGACACACATTCAAAGGAAAACATGTCTTCGAGTGAGAGATGGGATAATATGAGTCCATACAAGTCATCACCGAATCTGTCCATTGAGTTCTTCGCCTAAAATGTGGGACAAAAACAATGAAAACTTAATTAACATTCAATTGTTTGCTAAATACCTGTTGTGTATAGTCTTCGACGCCATTTTGATTCATTCCTCTACTTCTCTGTCGGTCCATATCTTGGGATCAAATGAAGTGATTGTATGAATGAATTGTATTTCTTGTCATAACAGTCATATCCTTTAAGTTTGTATCCTTTAAAATTGCGCCTATGTCAACACTAATATATTTTTATATTACGGTTAGCCTTACTGAAAATTGCCATAAACGTTTCTTATGTAGAATTATGTAGAATTTAACGCTGAAAACGAATATGAAGTTTAGAATCTTCTATCTCGAATATCTTTCGAGTTATTCGACTTAAAACTTTTGTTCGAAAAATATTTTTTAACAAAATATATTAATATCTTATATGAGTTCAATACAGAATTCAACGCTGAACGCGAATTTGAAATCCAAATTTATATTGGTCAAATACCTTTCAAGATATTCGACTTTAATGTTTATTGGAGAAATTTATAACCTAACTAAACCTTACCTAACTTAACTTATATTATGTTATATTTGGTTTGGTTATGTTTTGGTTAGGTTAGGTAGCGTTTTCAGCGTAAAATGCAACATAAAATATTTTTGAGCAAATGTTCTGCCGAATAACTCGAAAAATATTTGAGATAGAAAATTCTAAACTTCATATTCGTATTCAGCGTTAAATTCTACATAATTCTACATAAAAAAACGTTTATGGCAATTTTCAGTAAGGCTAACCGTAATATAAAAATATATTAGTGTTTTCATAGACGCAAACTTAAAGGATATAACTGTAAAATGTAAACAAAAGCAAAAATTACATAATATTTGCGCCGAAAAGGCATTCAAAAGGTATCGAAGTTTTAGTGCTTTTTATAATAACACTATTTCTATGAATACTATATAATATTGATATCGATTNAATAACACTATTTCTATGAATACTATATAATATTGATATCGATTGGGACTAACACTACGTCTATATAGCCATACATAACAAGTGGTCAATAGATGTCACTTATTGTCACTTATATTGCAATCAATTTATGTTTTCAATTGAATTCAATGTAAATGTAAAACATATTTACTTTTAATTTGTCATTAAAAACATTACAATTACTTAATTATAATTTCTGAATATTTTTTATTGAAAGTAAATTAAAATAAACAAAGAATGTATTTTTTATATAAAAATTGAATAAAATATAATTTCATAACAAATACTGTAGTAATACAAACATGTATGAAATGAACACACAGTTTAAGTATAATTTAATTGTATTTTTAAATTAGTAAAAATTTAATAGTTTGTATAAAATTTTAAAAAATATAATTAAGTATAAAAATAAGTATAAAAATATTAACAAATGAAATCACTAAACATTGATTACATTTTTACTTTTGAATAAAACTTCTTCTCATTGTTTACACGGATTTCCATTGTCTTGAGTTTAGGACTCGAAGACAACAAAACTATCAAATCATTATCTCTCAGACTATCGCTTAACTGATTCTCAATGACAAGCGTTTTCAGCGCCGGTAATCTTGAGATGCGATGCAAACACTCGTTTGAAATGGCGTTGGTTTTGATGTTTAGGTAATGAAGTCGTGGCCAATGTTTGTCACAATTAGATAAAAAGTGATAATCGGATACTTTTTGATATATCGGATGAAAACCAAGTGTTAAATGCGTTAATCGGTGGCAAAGTCTCAATGAACCCAAAGTCCGGACATTGAATTGTGAATTATTTAAAATCACTTCAACTGTCAATCGCTTTAATTGTTTGCAGTTTAAAGCAATTGTACGCAAAGACTCAGACAATGAGTTCATGCCATCGATTAGCACTAATTTGAGACTCAATTCTCGTAATTGTGTTAATCGTGACAATTGTTCGCACAGTTCTCGCAGATCTTCTTTAGTCTTATATGTAATGTAGAATAGATTAAGACATTTGAGGCACTGATTCTGTGCCACAAATATAGACAACAGTTCCTTATTATCAGTCGAATAATTTAATAATGAAAATGTGTGTAAATTATTGGCCAATGAAATTACGGGCCAGAATCCGGTGGTTCTGCCGCTGAACACATCCGACATGTGATACGCGACCAAACGAGACAATCGGCGGCAAAAAATGAGAGATGGCTTCTTTGAGGACAATTCACCGCTGATTCGTGTGATAAGTGGTGCCAACAGTTGTATCCATCGGTCGCTGTTTGACAACAATTCACAGTATATTTCCCGCAAATTCGGGAATTTGTGTCTAAATGTTGGAAACAATTCGAGAATGTGTTGATTACTGTATCCAACACTTCGAAAGTCAATGCTTTCAATGTTTGGACACTTTTCGCATATAATGTTCATTATTATAAAGAGAGGAATCTTGAACTTATTTACTCGTCTAATGAGTTCGTCGTCGATATCAATGTCGACAACACTTCTGAAGACTGTCCTCTGGAACCGTTTGGACACACATTGAAACACAAATCGCTCTTTAAGTGAGAGATAAGATAATAGAAGTGCACACAAATTATTACTGAATCTGTCCATTGAGTTCTTGGAATAGATTCGCTGCTAAAATGTAACAAACAATTAAAATTCAATTTTATTTAGAAATTGTTTAAATATTTACCCCATTTTTACGGCAATAAAACTTTGAGACTTTCTGTTCAATCACTTCAATGTTCTTGAGTTTAAGACTTCTGGACAACAGATAATTGAAATCATTATCCGAGAGATCATCGCTTTTACTGCAATTCTCGATGACAAGCATTTGCAGCGCCGGTAGACTCGAGATGTGATCCAAATCCTCGCGAGTGATTGCATTAGTTTTGATGGATAGGTATTGAAGTCTTGGTAAATGTTTGTCACAATCAGTCAGTAATTTGTCACTCATTTCGTCGATATCTAGTGTTAAATGTGTTAATCGGTGGCAGAGTTTCAACGGTTCCAACAATTGGCGACTGACGACAGACCGACTAATAGCTAAATGCAATCGTTTTAATCGGCAAAAAAGTCTCAATGAGTCCAATGTCTGGTTGAGTTTGAAATAAGTTGGGCGTAAGATAAGTGCCAATCGTTGCAATTGTTTGCAGTTTAAGCCAATTATACGCAAAATATCGTTCAATAGGATGTTATGTAGATATAAATCGAGTGTCAAATCCCGTAATTGCGGTAATCGTGACAATTGGTTGTATATTTCGGGCAAATTCTGGTTATTCTTCGCATTCTTAGACGGCTTAATGACGACTAGACTTTTGAGGGACTGATTCTGTGCCACGAATTCAGACAACTGTCCCTTACTTTCACTCGAATAGTAAATAATTGTGAATCGCTTTAAATTAGTCACTAATAGTTGTCCAGAAGTGTTGTCGAAGACATCAGACAATTGTTCGGCTCGTAATTGAGACAATCGGTGGCAATAACTGAGTGAATGCTTTACGAGTGAAGACATGCAATAGATTCTTGTGACCAGACGTCCAAATGTAGAGAACAATTGATTGCTATCCGGCAATAAATTGCAGTGAATTTCACGCAAATGCCGGCAATTGTTTCGAAATGTGTTCAACACTTCCGTAATATTAATTCTACATCTGGAAGTTATTCCTCGGCAGTCAATGGTCTGAATATTTGCACACTTTGTGGCAATTGTGGCCAACACTTGGCTTAAGGTTTCCTTTTGTTGTTTTGCTTTACGGATGAGTTTCTCGTTAAGAGTGATGTCCACAACACTCTCGAAGACTGTCCTCTGGAACTGTTTGGACACACATTCGTTACGGAATCGGTCTTCGAGTAAGAGATAAGACAACAATAGCTGACACAAATCATCACCGAATCTGTCCATTGAATTCTTCGCATACATTTGTGTCTAAAATAATTAACAAAAACAATGAAAACTCAATAAACAATTGTTTGTCAAATACCTGTTGCCTGACATTGTCTTCGACCTCATCTTCGCTGTCATCTATAGTTATCGTTAATATCTTCTTGTGTTTCATCTGTTGTGTCATATCTTGGGATCAAATGAAGTATTTGTTATAAAATAGAAATTCAATGTAAAAAATGTGATAACAATTGGATATAAAAATTGCATAATATTTACACCAAAAGGCGCCCAAAAATAGCCCTAAGTTTTGGTACTATTTATACTTTAATACAATATATTATATTCATATATAAAAGCACTAAAACTACGTCTATATAGCCATACAAAGCACACCATTCAATACAATTGTGCATAAAGTATAAGATTGTGTCAAAACATTTTGCCCACAATTTCAACGAAAATTGTTTGAAATAATTTAATTGCTTTTAAATCCATACTTAATTTTCAAAATTACAATTATTAAAAATCTGAATATTTATAAAAACAATGTATTATTACATAAAAATCAAACATCAATTCATACAAAATATTGTGATTATAAAACACAAATGAAATGAATGAACAGTTCAAACATTATTTAACACAAATTAATTGTATTTATAAATCACTAAATATTCAAAACATTTGACGGCAATAAAACTTTGAGCCATTCTTTGCACGGATTTCAATGTCTTTAAGTTTAGGATTTCTGGACAATAGTTCAGAGAAATCAATATCATTGAGAATAAAGTCATTACTCGAGTGAAGTACAAGTGTTTGCAGCGCCGGTAGTCTTAAGATGTGTGACAAACACTCGGCGTCTATAATGTCTTGATTGTCATAAATAGATAGATATTGAAGTTGTGGACAATTTTTAAGACAATTATCTAACAATTTTGCTGTCATTCGCGTTAAATACAGCTCTAAATGCGTTAATCTCTTGCAGTATATCAACGGATCCAACAATTGGTCACCGATTGGCACACGTATTGTTAAGTCCAAACATTTTAATCCGGAATAATATCTCAACGAATCCAAAGTCTGGACATTGACTTCATTTGTCTGTGAGAACAACTCGAGTGACAATCGTTGCAATTGCTTGCAATTCACGCCAATTGTACGCAAAGAGTCGGCCAATGAGTGCTGAGCGACCGTTATTTCAATACCGAGTGTTAATTCCCGTAATTGTGTTAATCGTTACAATTGTCCGCACATTTCGGTTAGAGTCCCGAGAGTTTGACAACTAATACACAACACGTGTAGACTTCTTATGGACTGATTCTCGGCCACGAATGCAGACAACCGGTGGTTATTATCGTCTGAATGGTATAATAACTCAATTTTATGCAAATTCTTGGCCAGCAGTGGTCCGGACGGGTAGTCAAACACTTCGTCCAAGAATTTGACTCTAACTTGAGTTAAACGGCGGCAATGAGTGAGTGCTTGGGTTTCCCTAAAGGAGAAGATGTCACCGATTCTTGTGACCAGTGGTGCGAACGCACCGATAGATTGGTCGCTGTTTTGCCATAAATTGCAATAAATATCCCTTAAATGTCGGCAATTGGGTACGTGAGTACAAGCCTGGGCCCAGCAAATTTTAAAAAAAATTTTTTTTATTATGCATTAATTTTATGTGAAATTCAACGCTAAACACGAATATGAAATTCAATTTTTTTTATCTCGAATATTTTTCGAGTTATTCGACTTTTAGTTCGAAAATATTTAATATTGTCATTTATGCATATGATACATCAATTCCATGTAAATTTTAACGATGAACATGAATATGAAATCGAT